CCCTACAATAAATTCCTTTCACTTAAATCTTACACACTAGGCCTTTAAAGTCACTAGATCTAAATTTGGTTCTGCACCATATTGCAGACTCATTAACTCCAGTCCGCAAAACATGCTGTAAAAAATTATCCGGATCTGAACCAAATGAGTTCATCAAGTTTCTCATAATCCTGCTAATAACAGATAAACAAACAAACAATCGCAGATGAAAACATAACCTCGTTGGCAGATGTAAATATTAAATCTGTGCATAATGTGCAATTGTAGCAACTTACCTGTATTTCAGCAGGAGTTTGAGCACCACTGATCGAACCACCGGATTTTTATCCACAGAGTCATCAAAAGGAGAGAGCACCTTTGTCAGAATTTGTCGATTATCTGTCAAAAAAAACAAATAAGGGTATTTAGGACTGAAGAATGTGTTGAAGCAGATACATAGTTGTATGTACATATACAAAGTGACCAGGTTTAGAAGAGTGACTTACCTCTGCTGGCTCTGAGAATGGGAACAGTGTCGGCCTCCACCATCAGAAAGGACAGCAAATGACGTATGACAGCTGAACAGGGGGGAGCGTTGTCCTTGAAGCACACAGTAGACACCAGGTCTATGAAGAAGGCATTGCACTGTTTCCTGAACTGAGCGCGTTGGTTGATGTTGATCCTACACAAAACATGAAATTATTTGTTTGAGCATTGAAACCCGATCATAATTTTTTATGCTTTTCATGAGGAACAAAACAAACAAGCATAATTTTATCTGTCTCTAATCCACATGCAATTACCAACCTTGTGGCATCTGTAGGAACCATGGGGAAGTTGTCATCGACTGGCTGCATGCAGAGGGGACAGTACATCTGACCAGGTCCCAGCCACTGTTTGATACAAGCTAGACAATAGATGTGGTCACATGGGAGGCAGAGTGGATCATGGGGGTCTCCCATACACACTGGGCACATTGGAAGACCAAACCTGAATAAATCATAAATAACTTATTTAGAGAACGTACAGTACAGGAGATTCTGACAAAGTGCAAAAGTTAGAGGAGTGAATTTCTACCTAAAGATACGTTCAATGGCTCCATCTTTGCAGGATTTGAGCAAACCAATAACTGCCTCAAATGACTCCTGAGTTTTGAGGTCTGAATGTTTTTCCAGTGCCTTGACAGAAGAGAAAGATTTCATGATGGATGGAGGAATAATTGAGATCATTGTGGAAACAGTTTTATGGTTATCCACTGAATCAGTAAGAGAAACTACCAACCTCGCCAAGCCTTTTTGTGTGCTCCAAAACTAGAGGTGTGAGCTTCTTCTCAACCTCCTCGATGCCAAACATGTGCTCCACAAATAGAGAGAGAGAAAATATCCGATTCCATCCAGCTCTAAGAAACACAAATAGCCATTGAGGTCAATATAGCTACAAGCATCTAAAATCTACAGAAACACCACAACCTCATCATACACAGCCAACGCAATTTGCTAAATCTGGGAAGGGTGTAATAAGCATTACTCACTGGACTCTGCATGCAATCGCCTTGCTCCTCTCTCCATAATGTCTTACACAGTCCTCAGAGCAGATTAACTCAATGGGAACCTGCAGTTTTTTGACCTGCCTGAGCCAGGCTTGTCTTTGGGCATCTGAGTCCAGGAATCTAGGCTCCAGGTACTCTACACATGCAAAGGCAGCATACACATCATGGACCTTGGAGACAAGAAGAATAAGATCACTAAAGATTACGGGCAGCAGATATATTATAAACATGGCCAAAAATAATTTGACCTTGAAGTCATGAAATCATGCACACCAAATTCAAAAGCCTTTGAAAAAGCAGGAGGAAGAAAGAAAATATAAATAATAATAATCACCAGTTCAACCCCATCTCTGCCATGAAGATTCCTTAGGAGGTCCTGGGTCACCTCGGGCTTAATGCAGATCATTCTCGAGAGGTTCTGCAGCCGGTTTTTGAACTCATGATAAGCAGCATGCACCCATGGAAGAGATGCCACTGTTTCACTGTCACTGAGCTTTGATCGCAGCTCATTGGCACAACAATTTAAGGCACCACACAGAAGCTGTAAAAATAGATAGTGTGCATTAATATATACAGACAAATGCCGTTTTAAAATATGAATTTACAAAAAAACAACCTTCAGATCTTCCTGACAAGTCACGTTCATTGTCATGGAGATGAAATCTTGAAGGTAGCGTTGAAAAAACTCTGTTTGCATCTCCAAGTCTCCTTTTGTGATGAATCGTCCCAATGGTGTCTTCCAAAAGAACTCATCAAACTCTTTTTGAGTGTGGCCTAACAGACATATGGAAATTATATATAAGCAAAAAGGCACAAAAAGACAGTAGTGAAATATGGAGAGCACCTGAGAACAGTCAATTACCTTCACGTTGAAGCGCATGAACCCAGAGCTCCTCAAGGTAGTCCTTGATCCTCCAGCTGAAGGGCATGCTACAGCTCATGTTCTTGTCTTGGGCAATGTAGTTCTGTACAAGGATGGTTCTTGTCTCAGAGCTGTGAAAAGAGAAAAGAAAAAGTTTATACATGCAAAGTAAATTTTGAGATATAAGAGTAGTCCATTATCTTTTACAAGTTACAATATTACCACCACTTACTTGTGTTCTCTTGTTAGGTGTGGGATCTCCAGAAACTTATCACTGCCAAAGATATCTAACCACAGCCTCTTAACAGATTCACCACAGTTCCCATCAAGAAGGATGTCCAAGTTTTGGTCACGGTCAATGACTGAAACAAGTTGTGCCAGGAGGGGGGCGACCACAGCCTGAACACGCTTCCATAAGGTGTGTCTGTCATGACCACAAAAAAGTTAATAGTGCTGTCCAAAAAGATATGAATATATCTACATAGGTAAATGTTGTGACATTTTGTATTGTATCCCTCACCTGAAGGTGCCTCCTTCTTGCAAGGCATCAATGTTTGAGGCTTCCTTGATCACCCAGTTGCTTTTGATGGATGAGAATGTGTTGTCATCATAAATTGCCAGCAATGAGTGAAGATGTCTTTTCACAGTTTTCAGGAATTCACCTGGCAAGATATTTGAGAGTATCATGAAACATCACAATGAAAATGATTCAACCAAGAAATTAAAACTTCATACTGAAGTTATTGTTTGTACCATTTCTTTCATCATTGTCAATGAGAAGAGTCAGTAGGATCTCAACTCTCCGAGTACTGCGGAGACCACTCTCCACTTGGTCCCTCAGCATACCCACTGCACTCTGAACACAACTCCGCAGCAATGCCGTCGTGTCCAGAACATTGTCCCAGGCCTGTAGCAGGAGGACACACAGGTCAACAAATAGTCTCACAAGTGACCCAGACTAATATTACATGTCACTGTTGTCAGACAACAGTGCAAGACAGGACAGTATTTTTCCTCAATCGCAAACATTTGCAATGTATATACTCACATTTTTCTCTGCTTCCTCGTGCTCATTTTCAGTGTACATATCATCCACTTCCATAGCTGTACAAAATACATTTGTAATTTAAGATCATCAATTCTTTTCAATTTGAAGACATTATATGTAATGGATATTATTCTTATAAATGATTTATCAACCACCTACCCTCAGGCAGACTCAGCTTCGTTTCAAACATTTGACTGATAGTCATGTTTTGCAAGGCTTTGATGTCAGAAACAATGTCTTCTGATCGTCTGAGGTCATCGATGTGAACTGACCTCCAGGGTCCTGTAAGTATAAGCATGTCTCAGATTATCCTCTACTCACCAAACAATGTGATGAAAAGTTATGAAAAAATTATCAGTTGTATTTGCTTTACCTCCATGGAAGCCAACATAGGAAGTCCCGCCTTCCATTCTTGGTAGTCTGGTGATGAAGTAGAAAAACACCTTGCTTCCTGTGCTCTCCTGAGCTATTTTGTTGATTTCATTAATGGATGAATACCTAAAAATGAACAGCAAAAACTCAATATGGCAAAACCATAAATTGCTGCCTACCCAACAGAGAAGAAATGTTGGACATACTTTGCAGATGCAATGAGGTTGGCACTGTGAGAGGCTTCATCGAAATCACACTGGATGATGAGGATCTTGTTGCAGGGTCCAATGTTACTGCTTCCATTTTCAGCAGTGAGGAAGTTCCTGCAAGAAAACATCTTTAGACTGAGATCATGCCTTAGCAAAGTAACCTGTTGACTGTTGAGAATATTAACAGGTTTGAGATGAATAGGTCATTACTGCTATGAAGTGTGAAATAATATGTTCTCCAATATATCAACAAACCTGATTTTCTTCAGGAAGGAGTGCTCTGTGTCAAACTGCTGAAGTGAGAGAAGCTCAACACTGAGAAACATTTGCTCCAGTGGCTCCAAGTCAGATGTCGTCAAAAGTCTGGAGAATGTTGTCACCTATGATTTAAAATAGTAATTAGTGAAACCCTAAAAAGACTAACAACTGTAGGATATATTTGACACTGATATTGTGCAATAACTTTAAAAATTACCTCTGTGAAGCAGGAGCAGCCATAGACCTCCTGCCTTGTGTGATGAAGTATGTAGTCAGCCAAACAACTGTTATTCTGCTCTTCAAAGTAGACCCCAGCCAGATGTTCACTCTCTACTTTGGGAAGCCCTGTGCAGTCCAACCGCACCACTGAGTCTGGTGTAGCACATTTGAGCAGTACGAGTTTAGCTTCATCAAGAACTCGCCTGTCTGGATCTGAGATCTCTAAAGTTTCCTTCTGCTTCTCTATCACTTGCAGAACCACAGAAGCACATGTGTCTGAGTGATAGCCGATGAAGACGTCTGGGGGTTGGTACTTGTAAGTATTAGCCATGTTTTGACTGCTGAGAGACACAAAAAGTCTCACCCATCTCTCCAATTCATCCACCAACCTCTTCTGCTCAGCTTTGAGGACAGTGTGGATGTCCAGGTAGTGTTTCTCTAGCCTGTTGATGAGAGGTATTGGGAACTGTTTATACACCACCTCTCTTTCCTCAATGACAATTAGCCGAAAGTCTTTGTGCACCCTGCATTTCACCCGGTGGGTTCCGAGTCCAAGGTCAACATACTTCTGTCCTCCCAAGCAGACGTAGTATTGGTTGAGAGCATCATAGAGACTTTCATAGAGGTTCTGCAAGTTTAGGAGCACAACTGTTTGACCTGTTTCCATGCAAATCTTTACTCTGTTGATGTTGCGGCAGATTTGGGTATACTCTTGATCTTTCGGGAAGCTGGATCCAAAGATTATTTCGGGCTGACAACTTTCTGAGAAGAAGGTTTGCTGCAGGATCTGTAGGGCTGCATAATTTTTTGTCAGCACCAGCAAGTACCGACAATCTTCTTCCTGTCCAACTGCCTGAATGTTGTCTCTCACAAACTCAATGGCACTGATGTTGTCAAGGCTGGGTGCCATCTGTAGTCTTTCGGTAAAGACAGCAACTGCATCCACATCATCCCTGCCACTGAAATTTCTCAGCACTGCTTTCACGGTTTCCTCTGCAGTTGGCTTCCGTTGAGAGCCCTTGGCAGCTGCAAAAATCATCTTAATCAAGCTGTAATAGTCACGTAGGCCAAAAAACCCTTTGCCTTTTTTGTGGCAGATGTTCAAGTAGGCTCTTGCAAAGGGTTGGAAGAAATCCCTGACCTTTTCCAAAACCATTGCATCAGATGAGCATATACCTTTCGCACTTTCGATCAGTTCCTTCTCATCAGGATCACCGCGGGAGACAAAAATGCCTCTGTTCATCTTTGCAGGGTCTAAAGCCCAGTTGGAGATACCAATGAAGCCCACCTTTTTGTGCGGGAGAGGCTCATCATCAATGCATCCCTCTTCTAGCAGTGGGTGAAGGGTTTTCAGTGGCATCTTTGGAGAGTCCTCAGCCAGGCCAATCTCATCAAGAACCACAACTGAAATGTACTCACTCAGGTTCTTTCCTTCCTGAAAGCGTCCACATTGCTTGAATGTATTGATGATGCCTTCTGGTGTTGAGTGGGGGCTGCACTGGAAGGACACCAAGTGGATCTGTTTCAGCCTTTTGTAGAGGTCAGAGTGAGAAGCTTGACCTTGCATTGCATCTGCCACCAAAGTTTTAGACAGAGATTTTGAACTTCCAGGTTTTCCAACCAAGAAGAGAGGGATTCTTAGCTCAATGCAGAGAACCATCATGAAGACGTTCTCTTTGAGAGCACTGTTTCTTGCAATAGTATCCCCCATAGGCACGCCACTTAAAAGTAGATCTTGCATGAGTGAAATTTCCTGCATTACTTTTGCTGGGCTGTATGCTGGTGGCAGGCTTTTACTGACTTTCTTTCTGTATTTATCCTTATGTTCTAGGCAGGCATGGTAACACACTCCGATTGCCATGACTAGAGACCAGATAACTGGGTCTCTGACCTCAGACTGTCTCTGATGCCTTTCATTTTTATCAGAGTTTTGTTTACTCTCAAACTCTTCAAGTTCTGCAAACAACATGGCGTGGTTGTCATAGAACCAAACAAAAGCCTGCATGCAGCGTTCAACATCTCTCAGGCTGACAAAGCTGCATTCGTCCGTTCTTTTCCTCATATACTGCTGTGAGGCTGAAAGAACATCAGCGATATACTTGGTGTAACTTTGATGGATTATTTTATTTTCAACCACTCTTTGCACAATCTGCTGGATGTATATTTTTTCTGTGAGATCATTTAACTGGCCAAAGTCCCACACTAAAGGGATCATGCTGGGGGGCAATGATTGAACTCTATACACCAACTGACGGAGAGGTATCGATCCAAGCTTTTCATCTGTCTCTTCAGATCCAACTTTGTAGCCAAGACCAGCAGTTTCTAACCTCTGAATCATCTCATCTGTGTGCTTTCGGTAAGGGTTGCATGCTGCAATTATCTGCAATCCACTGTGGTGTGTCAACCTTTCTCCCTTGACTGTTTTGTCACAGAGGACCTCTTTAATACTGCTGATGGCCTCAGTAGTGTTGGCCTCATCAAAAAAGAGAACAGAGTCAAATCCATACTCTTCCTTGTTGATTAAAGCAACATTTTCTGCTTCTCGGACTTTACTGTAAATCATCTCTGAAGATGTCCCTCCATGGACCTTGACCAGCTTCATGTTCTCAGAGGGCACTCCACTCCTCCGCAGCTCACAGAGGAATTTGATGAGTCTTGTCTTACCACACCCTGTCTCACCCATGATAATGACAGGGATGCCACACCTGAACCGCATATGGATTGCCAGCATCTTCAGAATGTTGTCAGTTGTGAGCTCGTATGTTTCATCAGGGTCAAGAGGCCACTGGATACCGAGAACGTTGCAGATTCGCTCTATTTTTTCCCCTCTTGGCAGACAATCAAAGTTGATGTTGAAAGGGACTCTCTGTAGTTTTAAGCCTTCATACAATGCCCTTGTCATGACATTCGTTTTTATCACCCTTTTAGAGGTAGGGTCAATGGCATCGACAGAGTTTTGGTTATTGGGCTGAAGATGGAAACCAATGAAGGTCATGGACACATGGTCATCATTAAAGAAGATGTATGGATGTGGTTCTTTTTCCCATCTCCTTCTAATCAAAAAAGGAGCCAAGTCTTCATCTCGGAGACCAGTGAGGTCCATCTGCAGTCTGCCAGGACTCTGGTCAGACATACTGAGTGATGGAGTGGCAAAGTCCTTTGCCATCAGGATCATGAAGTCCACCACAAAGGTTTTGAATCCAGTAAGTGTGTCTCCAGTGACAGTGACATCACAAAAAACAGATGTTTCACAGTCTTGCAGCTGAAAGTTAAGGAATCTTGCAAAATTCCTCAGTTCTGCCCAGGATGGGTCAATAATGCCACAGTACATGAGAAGCATCTGAAGACATTCCACATGTGACCCTTCAACTCCCTGATATGTGAACCCGTCAAGATCAGTGTGGTTATGAAATCGTGTGAGATACTGATATGTCCGTTGAAAGGCTGTACTCCTGAATTCCTTATCATCCATCAATGGGTCATCACTGCTCACAATGGTAGGATAGTCTTGCTTGCTCATCTCAATCATCAGCACCTCTTTGGGTGGTCGGCAGAAAATATTTGGGAACACGTCGATGAATGTGCTGTTCACAGTTTGAGCCTACGCAGGTAACAAAAGGAGATAAAACCACACCCTAAGGTCAGAAAAAGTTTAAAATCAGATAACACATGAGCAGCGTTAGTGCCAAAACGCTTTAGAACTCTTACCGGTCGTGTAGCATTTCTGGTTGTCTTAAGAGACGGCTCTAAAATCTCCATGACATACAGATGCTTGTCACTGCATTTCCACATCCTTCCCTCAGAATCCATCAGATAGCGCAGAATCAAGAGTTTGAAAAGAAACTCATTGAGGCCTTTCTGCACCTTCACAGAAAAAATACAGTCTTATTCAGATTATATGCAGTATGTTGACACCTACCTTATTAAAAAGGCTATAATACTCTAAGCTCAACATCAATGTGAAACTCATTATTACCGATGATGTGACATCAAAATGGAACATTGTGAGTTCTTTACTCTTGTGGCCGTCCAACAGAGATTGAAGGACAACATTCTCATCCACCTTAGGTTCAATTAAGCGAATGCATTTCCTCATTGACGGCTTTTTGGTTGAGTGCTTTAGTTTCTCATACAGCCTCTTGATGTAGAGAGATTTACCTGCAATTAAAAGCAAAGGTCATTATGGGAGGTATTGATAGTATTCACAGTGAATGGTCATCATGTGAACAATATTACCAATCAATTCACAATTTCAAATTGCTTATTTAATATATACGCACCAACACCAGCCCTTTTGGATGAGACAACACCAACGCACAGTCGGTCTGTGAATGCACCTGCAGCACTGCATTGATCTGCTGGGACGATGTAGTGACTGTGGAGGTAACTCTTGATCCTTGGAAATGGCTCCTGGGGAACTATGTGCAATCTGTACTGGCTAAAGGCTGAAGGAAGGTAAGCATGTTCTCTCTCTGAGCTGCAGATGATGACAAGTCTGTAGTCTTTCCTGCTCTGCATTTTCAATCTCTGAAAGAAGTTCTCAAGTTTAGAGCTCACGTCATAAGTGAGCAGATCTCCATACAGTAGAGAGTATATCTTGTCTCCTCTGTAACCGGTGCTGAGACAGCGTCTGAGGAATAGCTCCACCTGTTCATATGGTGTTGAGGAGTTGCACAAGAGGACTTCATCATAGGTGGGAAGTGGCTCACCTTCGCTACTCATGTAAATGGAGATGCAAGAAGTCAGGACCTCATCCTGGGGGCAAATGATCAAGTTAGGCTTTCCTGTGACCAAGCCTTTAGGTAGCTGCCTCCTGATGAGATTCCCCATGTAATCATCAGAAATGTCTTCTTCACTTTCTTCTTTTCTGTTTACCAGTATCTCCAACAGTCGCCCAAGATTTTTTATATCAAGAACATGCGGGAGAAAATTATTCATGTCTTTCATATAAGCATTCCATATCAGATCAAATTTTTGGGATGCATTCGCTTGTTCCAAAAGACTTTGTAGAGGATCCAGTTCGCTGATAAAGTCTGAGTCTCCCAGCTCGTTTCTTGGCACCATGACAAAAGTCTGAAACTCAATGTCCTCATTTTGCTCTTGTGGTTTTGTGAGGATTTCATACTGGAGTGAATGCCACACATGCCTCAAGTCCAAGGATGTGCAATTTTGCTTGACAAAGGATAGCATCATGAGAACATCGTCCTCCACATTGGCCACATTTTGCTGAGTCAGCTTGCTGCACAGGTAAACGATCTGTTCGGCTGTGAAGTAGTTAAGATAGTAATGTTGGGACCTCTGTTTGTCCACAAAATCCCTCCAGTAGTCCAGGCATTTCTCCATTTTCCTGCAAAGTTCAGGGAGCTGCTCCTCGATACAGCCCTCCACAATGACAGCACTGAGAACACTGCCCAGGTTAAAGTCCATCATAATGCTGGGTTCATTGCTGCTTAAACAGCAGTTGATTTGTGCTTCCCAGTGTCTGAACAAAGGATTCCCAGCAGTGTAGAGGGCAATAAATGCCTCAGCTAGTCTCTGAACACTGGCAAAAACCTGAAAAATAAAGAAACTTTATAAAATTTGTGTATGTACAGTATATTCATTCAGTATATTCTTCAGCATAACAGGAAACACAATTGTATTGATAAAACGGAAAACATAACTAATCTTTTAATATAATTTAGGGACCAGACCTTGCAAAATCTCTAATAATAGTAATAAATGTAATAAAAGTTGAAGTACAAGTATGTCTAGTATTCATAATAGCATTCAAGCTTCCATGCTAAACAAAAAGACCTTAAATAAAAGTGAAACATTTCATTGTACCTCTGAAAAGTGATCAACTTCATTCTGTCCTTGATCCCCTTTCCCAGACATCAGCATGAGTTTATTCTGCAGCTCCCTCAGATCCTCAAGAGAGTACCAGCGCATCTGCTGACCCTCATCATGCTCCTCAGAAATCTGCAGCTTCAAGGCGGTGTCAAGACTCAACTATATGGAGAAAACAGAAACGCACCCTGATGCATCATTTTGAGGGAACTCTGTTCTCAGAGTTAACATCTGTGCTGCATGACCAAAGGAATGCAATTAACTTTAAAATGTCGATACTTACCGTTTTTACACTTTGTGCACTGATCAGGTAGATACCCTTGTTGTTGATTGCTGATGCCAAGGAGAGAGACGACAGCTCCACTGATCCGTGGCTGTCCTTTACAGTCCTCAGCCATTCCAAGTGTCGTGCACTGTCCCGCTAAAAGAAATCATACAATTCTTAAATACGCTGTTATTTATAATAGCCTTACTGCACAGTAAATTCATATAAATGTTTGTTGCTCATTTACTATTTGTACTATCAATTATCAATGTGTTTCAGATATATTGTTAAGACATAACCCCAAATCATCTCAGGGATTTCTTGTCATCACAAAGTGTCTCCAAATTACTGTGCCATCACCAATAAGTAACTGTTCAGGGTCGAGTTCATATCCAAATTCAGGTCCCGGTCTAGTTTAATAGTACAAAAATTAGCAAGGTGTCCTCTTACCAGTTTTTTCGGTAGGTTGCTATCGTTCTCCAAAGCTCTCCAGAGCTTCTTCAGCACGTCTTTGAAGGCAGGAAAACCAGAGTCTGGTTTGAGCTCATAAAGCATCGAGGAGTAGCCAAGGACAGCATCATGGAAGCAAGCGACGCGATCCACATCCATATCATTCTCTCCCGCAGAGATGGAAGCCAAGTCAACAAACACCTTCAACTCGTTGATATCTGGTAACATTTATAAAGTAATTTGCGTGGATGAGAAATATACATAATTTTATGTTGTAACTACAATTAAAAAATGACTACTTTTTACCTTCAAGTGCATCCTTGACCCATTTTACAAAGTGTCCTCTGAGTCCCAGCTCCTGAAGACACTGTCTGCGGGGCTCAGTGATGTCCACCAGAACCTTCTTTGCCTGCATCAAGTCATTGTCGATCCGATTGAGCTGCTCTTTCTGAAAGTCTGCGTGACTCTGAAATTAGGAAGACAAAAGTTAGGATTTATAAAATAGTTCTGGGTAAATCAAACCCACTAGAGATTATTACCTCTGCAAAGGAGGTTATGTTTTCATTGTAAATTTGTGGGATTATATAAAACCACTTACAACTTCAGTGAGAGTCTGGAGAACCCTGAAGTCCCCCTGGAGATGAAGCGTCTCTTTAACCTTCATGATGATTTGAGCTGAGGCCACGGCAAAATGAAGCTCATGATACTGCTCAATCTGTTGAACCCTGCTGTTGGTCCACTTTTTGTCGGTTGATTTATCAACTCTGCACATGATGTCCAGGTCCTGCGCAAGCTCTTCGTACCTGCCCTTGTATGCTCCAAAGAGCTGGTTGACCTCCTCGAGCATTATGCTGCCGTTCTTCAGAGAAGTGTATATGTCTTTGTAATTTTTATAGCAAGGCACGAAAACTTCTTCGTACATCATTTCTGGTGTTGCCATAATGTCGGCTACTTCCTGTTCGTTGGGATCATCAGTAATAACTTCTTCTGTGACCCAGAGTTTGGCTTGTTGCTCCCAACACACTTGGAATATATAGCTGTCTCTGAAGGTGTACAGGGCCTCCGCCATTTCTTTGATTTCTTCACCCAGACTGAAGTAGGTGACAATGCCAGCCATCTCAGATGGCAGTTTATCAAGTTGATGAACCTCCATGAAAAGGTTGAGGGGCATGACGTCAACGTTGACCTGTTGTCTCTGTTCCATGGCGGCAACATTGACTGTCGAGTGATTTGAAAAAGCAGGTGTTAAAGTTGTTACATTAGGATCAAACCAAACTGATTGATTCACCGTATACAATACCTGTCATGTGCTCCTCAAGTTTGTGGCTCATTGTTAAGAACACGTCCACAAGCTTCTTCTCATGGTACACAGCATTCACTTCGTTTTGTCTGCATTGCAACAGCCTCTTCATTTTGGCAGTATCTTTATATTGTTCATTCTCAGAGAGGCAATCTGTCAATATCAAACCACACGTACAAATCTAAATATTTCTATTAGGCCAGTGCACATGAACATATGCATGTTCAGGTGTTACTTTGATTAAATGCAAAACAAATTTATGGAGAAACCTTTCAAACTTATTTTGACTTTTTACCGATTTTCAGCAGTTCTAGGAAGAAATCTCTCTTCTCCAGAATGATGTTGAGCAGACTGATCTTAATTTTTCCATTGACCAGTTGATTGTTGATGGCTGTGAAGGATGATATGGCAATAGCAAATCTATCCCTGGCATCCTGAGAGAGCTTCTCAATCAGCTTTTCTTCTGCCCCTGCAACAGCAAAAAATTCTGTCAGTGTTTTGTCTAAATCAACAGCAACACCTACTGTGCTTAACCCGGTGTTTGAGATCATGACAGGCCATCACTCCCCTAACCATGTCTAAATCTTTTTTTCTTTTTCGTGAGGAAATACCGTGTAGTTTGAAAACATCTTTGGCTGCAGTCCAGGAGAGAAGGTGCCTGAGAACCACTTCTTCATCTTCTTCATAGTTTCCTTCACGGTCCTTTGGCCATGATTTCTGGATGATTGTTGAGAGGAGTTTCCCAAACTTCCAGTTTATCTTGAGCCTCTCAAACAGTTTGCCCTCAGACTTGGTCTGTATAAGAAGTAAAACAGCAACGAGGATTATTGTGCATATTTTAGATAGGTGCAGTGATCCTGTGGCTGGCAGAAATAATCTAATCGAACACACCATATTAATGTAGTTATGCATGGCAAGAGCAAAAATGGGAAGTCTTCATACCTGGCACAAAGATGTAACAGCCTCAAGAGCACACCTCTCAATACTAGCAGAAATATGTGGATGGGAATCACTGAGTTCTTCTATTTTTGTGCAGTAGAATTCAATTTGATCCACAGCATATTCCTTAAACCACACAAATAGAAATTATGTTAAAGATGTTAAATTGTTAAACTTTTTTTTTTTTTACTGAAATATGCAAAACGTTGATGACGTACCTGTTTGTACTTGCCCTCAAAATCCCTTGTGAACGTCTGTCTCCATTCTTTTGTGAAATCTTCATCTGTGAAGTGGACAGCAATAATGTTGTTCCAAAACTGTAAATCAAGACCAACAAAAAGGTACAATTAACCAGTATTCTCTGAGAGAAATGCATTGCAAGCATATGTCAATATGTTTTATTTACAAAATATAACAAAACTGCTCACTTCCATCTCCGCTGTGACCTTCACTTGAAACATGGATGTCACGGACGTGTTGAGCAAACCATGTCTGAAGGTGCGACTGATCCAGTCTCTCATAATATTCATCGCCTGGGAGGTGATCAAGTCTTTTGCGTATTGCTGCTCTTTGTCTCCGTCCTGAGTCTCCTGAACAAGAATTATAATCAGGCCAAGTTTATTTGAGATCAGCAAAACTTAATTCTGGTTAAAAAGATAATGATTGACTTCACATACCTGTTGTTTCTTACAATGAACAAAGTCTGAAACTGATGCAACCAGATTCATGCAGGCTACAGGAATATTGGTGTAGTCCTGGGCATATGATGCTGGTCTGACTGCTCTGCAGATCTTCTCTAACAGTTTTACTGCTGTTGCAAGACACTCTCTCCTATAAGCCTCAGTAAAATAACTATGATGAGGAAAAAGAAGAATGCAAAATTGAAATGACCGACTTGCAGAAACATGTCAACCCTTAAACCCTTAGAATGCCGGCAACTCACATAACTTTCAGTTGCTGGACCAGAGAAGTTTACTTTATTCTCAAAAATGTACATTTTACTCTCAAAATACAAAAACACGGAACAAACCTGTCTTCAAATGTGAGTTTAGACAATGACAGTTTGCCTACAAACACAAATAATCAGTGACTTCCTGCATTAACAATCCAATTAAAAAAAAAATCTGCTAAATTTAGAAGAGCGAGTCACCTGTATTTTTCTTCAATTAGTTGCATTTGGATGTGCGCGAGAATGTCAGTCACTGCCTGTAAAACAGAAATCCAAGATTAATTTGATTTGATGCACTCTAACCCTGAAATGTATTATTTACAAATGTTTCCACTTCACCTCAGAGGTACTGCAGCTAACTTCCTGAGGAGCTTTATTAAAGAACACAAGAAGTATGTCCAAAAGCTCAATGTCAATGTTGACGACCCACTCCATCAGTTCATCAACTGGCATCAGAAACAAGCAGGATCGTGCGAGAAGTGCATCCACCTCCATTAAGTGACTGTGGCTCTTTATCACGTTCACCAGTGCCCTGAAAACAGGAGAGTGGTGAGAAAGAGCAGAGTAACACCCACCTATCTGCAGATAAATGGCTTGTGTAAGCTCAACTTTGACAAAGTTAGGGGGACTCTTACTTTCTCTCTTGACTGTTCATGTATGTTCCTGCAGAGGAACCCATTTCAAGGCCTTGCAAACCTGCCCAGGATGGGCCGTACTTCAAGTTACCAGAATTCGGTATTTCGAAGGGCTTTGTGGTGCCTTTGAGGAGGTGGAGGAGCGGCAGCACCAGGAGCCATCGGGGCTTTCCCGCTTTTTTCACCGAATTTATCAGAGATGCCAAATATTCTGGGAGACTACAACAAAAATATTCAAATATGCAGTCATTTTAAGTTATTTACTGGAGACGATGGATGACTGGGAAAGATTCGGTACTTACCTTTTGAGATTAATGACATCCTTTGAGAAATCTGCCCAGTACTGAAGGAAATCCTCTTTGCTTTGTCTGGGCAGGCAAAGCAAATTGCAGAGCTGATAAAGCTCAGATTCATTTAGACGGATAGCATGTCTTTTACATACACAGAGCATGATCACAGCCGCCTTCATGGGGTCTGGAATGTAGAACATCTCCCCATCTCCATCCTTCAGCAACTGAGGAGTCAGGCTCTTCAGCATGAACTCTTTCAGCATGTTCCTCACCTAAGAGGAGAAATCCGCAGGAAATTTGAGATCTACCTGGTTATTTCTAAACCACGTATAATTTTACTGTGCCAAGATTATAAACTTACATCATCTTTTCCATAGTTTAAGGCGTACCACTTCTTATGTGTCTCCTCGTAAACAAAGGGCTCCCCGTAAACCTCAAAGAACTGATTCAGTTGGATCACAAAACTTGTCAGATTGATCTCACTCCAGCTACTGAGAAGATCAAATATGGTCGACAGCATTATTTTCCCAGCGATCTCTCTGCCTTGAATCAGACTTGTCCTTTGTTCCGGCCAGAGGGTGTCTTTAATGCTGTCTTTTAAACGTTTGAGCACATTTTTGGATGGCTGGGCACAGATGATGTCATCATACTGATGCCAGTCCCCTTTAACAAACAGACAGATGTTTCAGGATAACAATGAAAAATCCTGAATTCAAATCATCTAGTTATAAATGGCAAAAGTCAATTTTATATTTACCTTCTACATTGAGGAACCTGGTCTTGACAAACAAACATCTGTTGGTAGTCTTGTTCCCAGAATCAATTTTGTAAATGAACTCATACTCATATTTTTGCTTTTTGCTGTTGTAGACAACATATTTGTATGGTATCGACTCAGAGGCAGCTACAGATTTTTTTGTCATCAGACTGCCCTCAACAAGAAAACCATGGTCTTCGAGACACCTGTGTGAGGAGAAGAAGAAAATCAGATTTACAAGGCGACCGGATGAGGCATTGGTGATTGAGTGGAAGTGATGATGACTTTTTTGACACAAGACAGATGCAAAAATAAGGCTGAAAATAGCACAAGACAAGACACAGACAAAGATGTCGAGAGAGCTTTTGGTGATAAGGGCCGATGCCGGAGCCGATGTGCTGTTAACAAAAACACGTGATGTCCTCGGCTGAATGATGTTGAAAAATCTGAGAAATGTGTGAAAGACAACCTCCGGAAGAAATCTGGACCCGATTCGAATCCCGAGTTCATGTCTGAAAACAGCTTTAGCTGCAGGTGGCCACTATCTGAACTTCACTGACCATTTTGGAAAACATACCTGGTCACTTGCAGCTCAGTTGCATCTTCGTCCCATGACCCAATGAGAGACCCAGCCCTGATGAAGATACGATCTTCATTCGGATCAAATTTGAAATCCTTCGATAAAACGGCGTGGAAGTAAATCGTGAGTCTGTCTTGCGCTGCAATGGTCTGGTTCGTGGTCGGTCTAAAAGATGAGAATAAATAAACACAAATATACTGCAGTAAATATTACGCAACCCAAAAAAAGATCTAAAGTAATAGTGTGCAGCCATCAAAGAGAATGTCATCACTTTTTGGGTGGTGGGCCAGCAGGCTTGTTGGATTCCCTGTTGTCTGCACTGTCGTCGTCTGAGCTTTGTTCTGGAGTCAAGTCCTGCCCACTTCCAGACTTCTGCACCTCCATGTGCTCTACTTTCTCCTGTGGATCAACACTTGAGCCTGTGCTGACCGCCTGTGCAAAGATCAATAAATATGTATCCTAAATATATACGGTCATGGGGCTGTTGGAATGTTGTTGAGTCAGAGAGA